GGACCTCCGCTTCACAGAAAGTCCTGATCAGCCATCCATCCTGAAGCAATGATTCGCAATGAGTAAACCACCAATCCCAAACCCCAGCCCTCAAGTCCCAGAATCCAGCAGGTTTTCTATGTCTTTTTTTTAAAAAGGATGAGGATCTTTGAAAAGTCCTAAATCCGTTTGATGAGCTGCAGATTGTCAAGGTCATTAAGAGCAGAGGCAGAGAAAAAAAAAGTGACACTGCTGCCCTCCCAGACTGGATTAGATGATTCTTGACTTTTCTGGTTATACGTTTTTTATTCTGTTAGTACAAGGAATAACATATCAAAGCACCAATAGGAATTTAAGAGGTTTGCAATCTTAAAACATTACCAAAGAAGCGTTTGTCATACTGGAAGAGGTGTTAGAGGAGCCAGCAGGGGGCGCTCACTCTCTGGTCTATGTGGGTCTTAATGCTTCAGTATAGTGACGGGGACAATGTACTATAAACCGGTTCCGTGTTTCAGATGAGACGTAAAACCGAGGTCTTGACTCTCTGTGGTCATTAAAAATCACAGGGCGTTTCTCGAAAAGAGGAGGGGTATAACCTCAGCACCCTGGCCAAATTTCCCATTGGCCTTTACCAATCATGGTCTCCTAATAATCCCCATCTATGAATTGGCTTCATTACTCTGTTCTCCTCCCCACAAATAGCTGATGTGTGGTGAGTGTTCTGGCGCACTATGGCTGCTGTCACATCATCCAGGTGGGACATTGGTGGTGGTGGGGGGGAGTCCCCATTACCTGTAAAGAGCTTTGAGAAGAATGTCCAGAAGAGCACTATATAAGAGTAAGCAATTATTATTATGCAAAAAAGACTTGAAGAATTCACCCAAATCTTTTTCATACTTTGCTTCTTTAGGTTCACCCGCTGGATATTTGTAATTTACCGTATGTACTGTATGTTTTGCTTGTCTTTGTAAAATGCACTTGCTTGTACTGTATATCATCTGCCAAGCACATGTCCAGCATTCTTTTAGATTTTTGTCTGCTGTTTTGTTCCATTAGTTACATTTGAAAATGTAATATATAAGTCCATAAGCATGCAATTTTAATTTGTAGATATTAGTACAACTAGCCCTGAATTTAGGAAAAAGTAAAGGTTTATTCCATGCTGAAAAGAGAAGAACAGAAACACAACTTTTCCATCTTACAGGATGATCCCTCCATCGGTACCCTTTTTCTGACCACCCCATTATCTCTTATCGCCAACCACCTAATCTGCATAACCTTCTTGTTCACAGCTCCCTTAACCACCCTCAGCAACCATCCACACCAGGCACTTTCCCCTGCAACAGAACTCGCTCCATCACCTCCATACATATCTAACACTGCACTCATTCAAGACCCCTCAGGACAATTCCAGATCACTCAAATAACATCTTTTACCTCCGGCAACCTTGCAAAAAATGCCCAGCTATCTACATTGGGGAAACAGGAAGGAGACTCAGAGACCGCTTCAGAGAACATGTTAGGGCTGTGAGAATCAAAACATTCCAAGCCCATAGTTTCTCATTTCACCTCCAACGGCCATGATCACACTGATTTCTCTGTCAGCATTTTCAAAGAAAGGTTTCTTGACTCCTATTGCAGAAAGGCATCCGAAACCAAAATTATCCTGAAACTAGGATCACACCTTCCCTAATTGAAATACTGTGGCCCTGGATAAGTGTATCATTTCATGCGGATGTTTCTCCAATCATTATTACCCTGTATTTTCTATACATTTACCAGTTTTTAATTGAGATGCACATGCTACTGAAATTAACCATGTTAACTACTGTGAAACCTTAATCAGATATTTGAAGCTGAGCAAGTCTGGGTGTCTTTGTGGGGAACCCCTAAAGAAAACTGAACTGCTACTGAAGTTGTATTGGTGGTCTAGTAGGTGGCATTCTTCCCTTAGTATTAAGATTCCAATGCTATGCTTTTCTGTGCTGATGGGACTTCAGGTGGCATTTCGTGGGATCAAAATTAAGATTCCTATTTAGGCTTGCTCTTAGTGATTGGGTAATGTCTCACTTCTCCTACTTAATTGCTTCATAGGAAGGTGCTGGTGCTGAATAACTGTTTTATGTATGCTACACATCAGTAGTAGACAAACTGAGTCCTATTCATACCAAAGCAAACTATGAGTCGACAGGATACTACATAAACATTTTATCCAAACTAACATTTGTACCCACTTGCATGTCTGGGTATTTAACTGGGCCAATTGTGGTGAAGTACCATGAATTTGAAGCACCACTAGTAACAAGAGCAGAGCCCCACACTGCTTCACATGCCATGAAATGACCCTTTAATAACATGCCAATTATTAAAGGGTAAAATGGAACTAGAATTTATTACTAGCATACCATCATATTGTAGGTAATATTTAACTAGATTTAGCTTGTTTGAAAGGGTGAACTGAACAGCTAAATGTGTTTAGTGACACACAGTTTGCAAATAAGGGGTGCAAGCATGCAAGAGTAAAATCATTCATTCATCCATCTTCTAACCACTTCATCCAATTCAGGGTTGCAGAGGGGCCGGAGCCTATTCCAGCAACAGTGGCACAAGGAGGAATACAGCCTGGACAGGATTCTAGTCCATTGCAGTGCAGATAGACATAAACACCCACACATTCACCACTCTGGTTTGTGTTTCACTGGTCATTCCAAAGGAGTCTGCTGGTTTGACTTCAATGTCAATGGCTTTGAGTTTTGAGGATTTTGAATACACACGTACCAGGTCCACTTGTAGTTTTCTGGTTTAAGACTAAAAAAGGTTTAGTATTGAATGGGTTAACCTTAAAAAAAGAAGGATGTAACTTAAATGTGCACTTCTACCAAATTAAGAACATCATTGTGTTCATATTTTGTTAAAAACATACATACAGAAATATATAGCATGATTGAGATGTTCCATTAATTGCTTTGACTCCAAAAACAGGAAAAATAAAAAAAAGTACTTATGAAATTATAAAGAACTAACCCGGCATTTAAATAATAAACTTGAACTTAAAGTTTGAACCCACCAATACCTCACATTTCCCTACAATTCAATTAGTTTCTACTGAAAAAAATCAGTGGTAGAAGACATTTGCAGACCTTGACTCTACATACACTTAGTCAAAAAGATTCTCATTTTAAATCAAAGATACTAAGTTAAAATATGTCACGACCTACAGACTACAGCTACTACTCTCACATATGATTTTACATCTAAAAGTCTTGCATTTTGAACAGTTTCCAGGTTTTCTTCCAGGTTTAGATGAGGCTGTGAGTAACATTACTGTTTATACTAAAATTGCAGCAATGTAGATGAAAAGGACTTTGCAAAAGGTAAACTAAAAGGTAGTTGTGTAACTGAACAGCAGCAATACGTCACAAAATACACATAAATAAGAAAATTACAAGATCCAGGAATTTGGAATAAAATTGCTGAATCAAGTTTCTTTAATTACAAGATCCAGGAATTTGGAATAAAATTGATGATTTATTGATTTATTTAATAAAACATTAAAATAATGGAAATTCTTTGTCAATGAAATAAGAATTCACAGGTAATGGATATCATACTCAGATGTTTGGAGATGCCGCAGATGCATGCAGTTTGTTGAATGTGAAACAGCCTTGAGGACACCATTACCTGACGACTAACGGTGGCCTACAATGTCCCCAGTACATGCACAGCACTGCCGAAACGGCTCACAGCTGTGGAATAGGAACACAATGAAACAATGATCTGAATTCTACACAGAGGTGACGTGGAAAGAACAGTAATGGCTGACTGAGAACTATGTCTTTTTCAGAGTGTGCCACTAACAAGACCTTGGTGAATGAAACCAAGTAAAACAGTGTTAACTAACTTGAGTCTGAGAATTTCAACATATTTTCATATTTCTAAATCACATGACCAAGTACCACATTTTTAGATCCAGATTATTTAAAGGGGTTTGTATTACAAACAGAGCAGTGATGACAAATAACATCTATACAGCAAAGATGTTAATACAGTAATAAAATATATACTATACAGAAAATATTGTCTGATAATTTAAAAAATTAAAAAGTTTAAAATCTTGCATTTATTCATTTATGTTTGGCAGATATTTTATTTTTAACCTTCTAATCTTAAACAATACTACCCTGTCATATCTAAGGCACTGCAACACATTCTGTGAACTTCACACTCATTTATGTCATACTAATAACTCTGTGTTCAGAAGACCAGTATTCAACTGTATTGGGGATCAAGCAAATTACAATAGTAAGAATGTACTGTGAAGTACCTGAGAGCCCTCATGGAAATGAAACATGCTACCTTACCGTTATTTTTTTCAGACAAACTGAATGGTCAGACTGCAGTCATATCTGCAGGCAGCAAAAGTATTTTAACATTTGATTAACACAACTGCAACTACAGCCCTTATGTTTTTTTATTGGTTTTATCACTGATAGCTCTCTGCTTTCATCTTGATGTTCTGTAATTAGCATATGGAGCTGCAGACTGTATAAAGGTTTGTGCTTGGTCTGCTTTTAAAATATTCCTTCACAGTACAGTAAAATTGTCTGCATATTTTTTAATGAAAAGCTATGAAATTATAGGATCATGGGAATAAAACAAAGATAATATGAGACTTATTGTCACTCAAATTCCCACACAGTTACAAACCATGGTCCACCTTCATGACTGTAACATCTTTACAAAAAAACACAAGTGAATTTCAAACAAAAAATAAGAGCACTGTATATTAATATATAAATTGATGGATGTAAATTCACTTTTTATTTTGTGAAAAAAGACAGTCTTACAAAAATCTTTATTTCAGAGGTTTGCTGAGGTTTGAATATCCAGCTCCCACACATGTCATGAGCACCTTCTCCCCACCTTTCTGTTCTTCTTCCTGCTTTTGGGTTTCAATTTTGAACATAATTTGAAAGAAGTCTCTTATATGACGCAGAAACTCTATCCTGTAAAGAAGAACAGCAAAGCAATGAGTGTAAGAGTGATATGCAGTTCTGTATTCTCAAAAAATATAGCCTGAATTTCTAAGAGCAGATTTTACAATTTACTACAGTATATAAAATAATGCATATACTTTCAGCCTTTATGAATGTACTACTGGATGAAGGCCCTTCTCTCTTTAGGTATTCAAGTATACATGCATAACTACTTGTATTTCTAGGTAAAAGAACAGTTTCTTTATAATAACACTCCAGACTGCACATGCTTTATGAATCACCACTTTACATCCATGGCTTTTTGAGCAGCTGTCAGGCGGTGAACTTGAGACAGTGTGCAGAAATAGCCTAACCACTGAAAACAAAGGAATTACTATTTCTGCGACATACCAATGTTTAGTCATATTAAATTTCTCATCAACCAAAAGCACCTTGTATACTCTTGTACCCCCTGGTGGTCAGCTGTAATATAAAATATTCAATACAAACTGTTCAGTTACTGAGAATAAAAAGAATTGTAATAAATATTTTTTTACCAACTGAAATAATGACCGTAGAAAAACTTCTCATTGTTGTTCTGTGAAAAAGTACAAAGTCTATATAACAAATTCTGGCCCGGAATGTAGTCTTGAGCTCAGAAAATGCTTTTTCAATATCTCAGTTGCCAACACCATATACATTTTAAAAAGTGGAGTCAACTGTCCACACAACATATTAATATTGTGAATAGTGGACACAGACCCAACACACTGATCTCTGACAGTCAGCCTACTTTGAGGTCTCTAAATATAATATATCCATATCACCCCTTGCTAGTAGCACATACTGTCCAAGGGTATACTTTACACTATGTTTTCACAGGCAAAAAATGAACAGAAAAATTAAACTTGAATATATTAAAACTATGTGGATGTCAACTTTCATAACGACATTTTACATATAAGATGTTTGCAGGAACATTTGAACATTTCAAAATTTTCACACAGTAGGTCTAGCATCACAGGTATTCTTCTATTTGCAACCAATTATAACCTTAGAAACAAGTAGCTTTACCTTTTATTCAAACAGTTCAACAAGGTTATTATGATATGGAATGAAAACCTCATGCACTGGTATTGTGTATTGCCTACCGCTTGTATATGCAATGAACAGCAGAGTTCTGCCTAAGTGTTCCTGAGTTACTGAAGGCTACATATACTTTGATATTAAGCACCTGATTGAAGCAACCTTGTCCTATTCTTGTAAAAACTACTATAGCATTAATAAATTAATAAAAGTAGAATTTTAAATTAAGACTTGTAATAAAAAAAGTAGAACTAGCATTTACTATTTGAGCTGGTGCTGTGATAAATAGTGGCTTCCTGACCTTTGGTGCAGTGCCCAGGTAAGTCACTCTAAACTGGCATAAGCAGTAACTCAGGGAGTAACATGCCAGGACACACTGTACACAACAGCTCAAAGGTTGCAGTGTTGCATGAGCAGACTTGTGAACAAAAGGAAACGAAAAAGAAAATAAAATCCTAACCTTGTATTTAACTCAACCAAGAAAAGTTGTAAGCATTGTATTTCCTCCTTTATATAAATCTAAGAACCACTAAAGTTAGTATCTTCACATTTCTGAAAGCAAGAGTTTACACTTACTTCATGACAAGGTTAAAGGAAAATAAAAAAATAGTTTTGTTCCAGGGTAAAATACTGCATTTACCTTTGGAAGCATAATGCACAATTCTCTCCTGTTGGATTTTTTGACATTTTGACAATGTCCTGTTGACATTTTCTATATGTCATCTTATTTATTAAGGTGTTCTGGGCAAAGCGTAAACAGTGATATGTACTCGCTGAAATATTTTATGCAGCTCAGTGAATGGCTACACTAAAACTAGTCCCTAAGAATGACCTCACATTCCTCAACATATTGCTGAACAGCACTAAGTGAAACAAACATATCACATTTCATTCATTTCAGTAGGTAGATCAATATTAAATAGGTAATGGATTTCCATGCACACTGAAGCTTCAGAAATAAATCCCAGAATAGTTCTGCTGACAATGGCTGAGCAGGATCTTTGTGATGGCACTGCCAATCTTCAGTTATCATAGTACTGTACTTTTGAAGTACACAGCACCGGTACCATGATAACTGAAAATGGACAGTTCACTTCTTTCAGATTCTCAATTGTGGAATCTCCATTTCTGTTCAGTACTTCTTACCCGAAAGTAGCCTGTCAGGACAAAACTGAAGACCCTCTCTCACAGCTCTATCCAAAAACAACTATTATGGCAGACACATCATTAAAACATGTTATAAAATGGCAAATGTGCATTAAAAAGATCTAAGTGGGTTTTTCAGTGGCTTTAATAAAGACACAGAGATTGACTTCTACAAGACTAGCAACTTCTAGTTCATTTCACTGAGCAACTTTGACTGGGCCCTTTTGGGCAGGGACACAAAAATGGCATACGTGTCTAATCTGGTGACATTTCAGAATGTAAGCAGGGCTAAGGCTAAGTTCAGTCATAGGGTTGGAAGACCACTGAGGAAATGTACATTCAGTGAAGCAGTACAGCAGTAAGATAATATGCTATCCCAGAATTGGCCAACCATGTTAACAGGGGAAACTGCACTGAAGGAGATGCTATCATTTGTATGACATTAAAACAAGGCTCTTTTGACTACATGGCAATTGAAGATTCCATGGTTATGCCTGGAAGACTAGGGATATTAACAACAGTGTCCTGGCAAAAGTTTGCTTGATCTAGCTAGCCTACATTTCCTCTTTATCAAACCAAAGTTTTTTCTCTTCCTCATCTGCTGTGTAGAGGACCTTATTATAAACTGCAATATAATTGTGGTGGATGAACTCCAATATGTAAAACTATTTGTGATCATTTGAAATGATTTCCATTTGTTTCACGTTTATGTTTAAAATTAAGCACTGTATTTGCATTGGAAATAATTGAAAGGGGGGTGATCTAACATCAGATGGTTTGATGTTGAGATGAGAGACTAGGTAGGAAAGATGATTGCCTCCCTGGCCTGTGTCCCCTTTGTCTCCAAAAGAGGGAAGGCTGTTGTCCTATCCAAGGTAGCATCCCCAATATTTTGTGGAAATAGGTGATGTAGGTGGGTGGGCAATAAAATCCCTTATTAAACCTGGTGTGTTCAAACTGGAAAAGGTTGGGAAAAAACAATAAAAAACAATGGAAGGTATTGAAAATAAAACCAGTACTTAATGACACATACATCTTACATGTGTATGTTTTTGCTAAATAACAGTGTAACCTCTTTTGAACTTAAATACTTTTGTTATAAATATAACAAAACTTCATACCAATATAAATTTTATAATATTTTTTTATTTGTTGCACAACTCTTACGTGCATGCATTCCTTTTCAAAGATTTGTGACAACTGTGTACTTTGCAGCTAGAGAGATAAGCATAAAGACAGCCGAGTTACAGTAAATCGCTCCAAATCTACACTAAAGACTAATTAAGCAATTATCTGTGTGGAGCTTGCATGGTCTCCTCACATTTGTGCAGGTTTCCTCCGGGTACTCTGGTTCCTCCCACTGTCTAAAGACATAATGGTTGGTAAATTGGCTTCTGGGAAAATTTGCCCAAGGTGTGAGTGTGTCAGTGTCTGTGAGTTAGCAACGTGATAAACTGGCATCCCATCTAGGGTGTATCCTGCCCTGCGGCTATTGCTTGACAGGATAGGCTCCAGCTCCCCCACAATCCTGTATTAAATAAAGCAGTCAGAAAATACATGGGATGGATTTACTATTCATGGATTTTTTTCCTTCAAAAAATGAACTCTGCTTGGTATTGCTATGGTTTTATAGAAAAAAACAACAACTCACGTGTATGGAGAGAGAGGTCCTAGCAAAGCTTTAGAAACATCTTGCTGTCCTAAAGTCATGTACAGCAACACCAGACTCTGATTGATTGAATCCACACATCCTCCCTGAAAACAATAGCATGAAGTTAAAAATCAATTTAAGATTTTGATTGAAATTTCTTCCAATTACAACAGGATCAAATTTTAGGAAATGAGCAACAAACTACCACAGACATTAAACTATCATGTTCTCCTAAAATAAGAACATGAAAGGTTTGTAAAAAAGCTTTTCTTAGCAAAATAACTGTCATTATGAAAAAAGCGGCCTCTGCTTTTTTGTTGTTCCTATGCATATGTTTGTTAGTTTGTTACCAAAAAAACAATTCCAATACTGAAAACTGAAATGTTACTTACAACATCCTACCACAGTACTAACGCAGTTACTCAGGACAGGAAACATCCAACGAAGTCCTGTGGGAGCTATTACCTCTAGACATTAAATTCTTCCCACCTTCTACAGATCACCAGTATTTAAAAGTGGATGCTGAGGGGATTCACTGGGCTTTTGAGTTGAAAATTTCTATAACGACAGTTTCTACTGCACACTTCACATAAAAAATGAAACATGAAACCTCCTGAGCTCCATTATAACTTCCAGAAAACACCCCAAATTTTCTCTAACATAACGGTCAACATAACGTAAAAAAAGTCCCTAAAAGAAAAACCAGCCAGGACAGCTAAGAAATGAATCAGACCTTCTAACATGACAGCTCAAGGTCAATTTTCATAAAAAGCTTATTTTAGCTACAAAGCAATATTCTATTTGATATTGAGAATAATTGTAATGTTGATGGTACTGAAGGTCTGTAAATATGTGCTTGCATAAAGAAATTATTTGTAACCTAACACAAGCAGATGATGTGCATGCAGCATAGTGAAACAACTAAGGCAGTTCAAATATGTATTCCTACAAAACATTTCTTTCTGGGTACTCTGCTTTGCTGCTTCCACTACAATTAAAAATAGAATGACAAATTCACTGCTACTAAAACGTACTGCATAAGTTACAACTATAGTAATATCAACACTGTCACCTCATTTATGACTCAGGGACTATAACTTAAGTTTTATTGTAGGAATGTTGCTGATGATCAACACCAATTTTTACGAATTCAATAACTGAAATGACAGTTCTGAAATTCACAGTTTGTCTACAGATAAACATGATTTGTACCAGCAGCATGAAATGCAATTCATATAGGTGCATCTTAGCACACAACTTTGAGGATAACAGGATGTCAAAAATATTCTAACTACAAACCATTAAAGAATAAAAAGCCTAGTATAAAGTATTTTAACAAGCTTTAAGTCTTAATAGTTCCACGATGTGCATTTTGTCAAACAAATTCAGGTTTGTCTTAAGTGTACTTTCCATATGAAATTCAGGGAAGACCGTTATACAGTACAAACATATCAGCAAGTTACAGCACAGACTTTAAAAGCATTTAGACAGTGAAAAAATGAAAAAGCAAACAACTGATTTAAATATCAATATTCATTCTAATTTAACAGCATTCAGGAGTATTATATTGGTCATTCTGACAGGATGTTGTATTGGTTTAATTTTTAGACTGTTTTACATTGCATGATCCTGGATTACATAAAGGCTTATCTAAACTGGAGTAATGATTACACGATAAAACATCTCTTTCAAGTCAGTGCCCGTTATAAAACTGCTTCTAAAAATTACATACAAATGTCAAGAAAATCTGCACCAGTGCAGTTTAAGTTCAACAGAATCAATCCTAATAAATTTAGTTTTTCTTTAATCAACAGTTCAATCAGTTTTATATGTGAATCCTATATAATTTCAAAGACTTTGGCACTAATCATTTATTGTCCCATTTACAACTCTGTACTGATTTATGCATATTTCTAAATCATTTACAAATGAGAGAAATTAGTCAACCTTTAAAATTCAGAATTTTCTTACATGCTACTATGTGCTTCTAATGTATTTCAGGAGGCACCAGAACCATGAGTGAATGTTTATAGAGATTACATTAGGCAGCTGAACATTAAAGAAAGTGTAAAGGTGTCTGAAAGAGGAGGTCTACAATCAACAGTTTAATAAACTATTTTAATGAATTCACAGATTAGGGTAATAGGACCATTAGGCATTCCAAACCTGCTTTTTGTGTATCTTTAGATATTTGTTTTCTTGTTGAAAAAATTACTGTAAAAGATTATTTTTTAAAGATATGAATACATTAAAAACACAAATTGGGTGAATACAGTATCAATTATTGAAAACAAAATAATTCATTTTTCCTTTTGGGTATATTTTTTCTTGGATGAAAATGTATTCTAATATATTCTAATGGACCACACAGTGCAGGACACAAAATGTTTTATTGGAACAAACATTATATAAACATACATAAAATTATCCAGCCAGCAGCCATATCACTCTGCAATTCACAACTAGCAGCCCACTGAAGCTAAGCAGGTGTGAGCCTGGTCAGTATCTGGATGGGAAAAGTCCTGGGAAAAAACTAAGGTTGCTCCTGCAAGAGGTGTTAGTGGGGCCAGCTGGGGGCACTTGCCCTGCAGTCTATGTGGGTCCTAATGCCCCAGTATAGTGAAAGGGACACTATACTGTAAGAAGGCGGCGTCCTTCAGATGAGACAAAAACCGAGGTCCTGACTCTCTGTGGTCATTAAAAATCCCAGGGTGTTTCTCAAAAAGAGTAGGGGTGTAACCCCGGCGTCCTGCCCAAAATTCCCATTAGCCTTTACCAACCATGGCCTCCTAATAATCCCCATCTATGAATTAGTTTAATTACTCTGCTCTCCTCTCCACTGATAGCTGATGTGTGGCGAGCGTTCTGGTGCACTAATGATTTATGTCTTATTATACCAATGCAATTACACACACAAGCAATATAAACATTCATACATTTTATTTCTGATTTTGCAATAACCAGAATAATGGATGATGTGCCTTAAATATGAAAATTTAGGATCATTTCCCATTTTAATTGCAGTCTCTCTGTAATATGAGCTGGTCATGTGCTTCCCAAATACATTAGTACAGAAATATCCAATAAATTTCTGCCTTTTCATTTTATGATTAAGGACGTTAGTAATTAGAATTAATAATAATAAAAATGTAAATTTTATTATAATATATTTCTACATTGTACTAGTCAATTCAACCCTACCACCATACAGGGAAAAAAATGTTAAGAGCATATTTTGAATAGTTATTTCATTATTAAAGTTAAAATATACAAAATGAATCTAAATTCACAAAAAACCTGAACATGCATCAAAAAAGTGTGAGAAGTTTTCTTCTATGGCCGCTCCAAAACTGAAGTTACAAAGTAGATTTCACGATAGCCAACAGGAGGAACAAATAATCACAAACTTTTATTCACATCACAAAAACAGAAACAATAATTGGTTTGAATTAAAAAGTTACTTAGGTATGAAATTCTAACAGATTTCTCCCAATTATGAGCAAAACCAAACAGTATTTACTCTTTTTTTAGATTTCTGAAAAAGTGCTTAATGGGCACATTTACCCTATTTTTTTTTACATTACTTGTGAAAAGGACCAGACCTTCTCTGAAACAGAAGGAACTTTATAACACCTAACAGAAGTGAAAACATGGGCATCATTTTATTTCTGTTTAAGAAAAGATCCTAATGACAACTAGCAAAAAATATGGCTCAAATACAACACAAACTATAGGGTTCGAAGTATAACAGTGAAAGACTGAAGAAATGGGCATTATTCTAAGAATACAGATTTACTATTATTAAGCAATCCTGTAACTGTGTTATAAAACTTACAGTTGTCATAAAATTCAGTACATTCATTATTCAACATATTTCAGGACGTTTTACTTACTTAAGACTAAGTGTAGCCCTAAATTGATATTAAAGGTACTAGTACTTAAAAAAGCATGAATTCAGATCCTGCCGCCAGCTTGAGCTACATTGGTGGGCTAACCAAAGATTTTAAGTAACTATAAACAATTAAGGTCTTCAGGCTATAAAGAAGTTTAGAATTTTCATAAGCACCATAACATAATTCAAACACCAAAACACACTAGCAGTGGACGATGTTGTGGATTTAAGCTATGCTGCTATCATAGCTGTGAGTAAAAACAAATACCTACTAAAAAAAGAGTGATTTATGAGAAAAGGTTTTCTCACATTACCCTCTCTCGCAAGTTCTCCCGATATTCATCGTCAGGAGTGCAAATTATATCCGAAGACGTCACTCGTAAGAACCACACACAGTGATCCATGGGCTGCATTCGGCTTGATTTGATTTACAGAGTAAAACTACAATGGTCATGCTCAATAACACCGCTACCAAATTGTCCACAGTAGAATTCTGTGCTTTTTCTAAGTATAAGAAGAACATAAAAAACTGCGTGGCTGCCATTTTTTTTACATGTTTTGAGGTTATGACAGTATCAACTAATGAAATAGTTTTAGCTATTCAATTAGATACAATGTAATAAAATGCCATATATAACATACAGCACTGCATAAGAACTTGAGAGAGGAAGAGCAAAGGTGAAAATAATATAATGAGCACAACACCATACATATGATTCTTTTCAAGAGGTTAAAACAAAAAGAATAGATACAGTTATGAATATAATCTTTCCATCCTACAAGCAAGGGGCTCATTTCAACATTTATTGAAATTTTATAAAGGCATCTTTAGTACTTACACTCTGACTTTGTGGACTCCACAGACTCATCTTTGTAGATCCTGTTTACTAGTTTCTATTTGTTGCTGCTACTGATTAACCACAAATCAAACTCCAAAATGGGTATACTAACAAAGGGATCACATTGCTGGTATCCCATTTTAATAATTAACAATTCCTGGCTTGTTTTCTTTTTCATTCCTCACCTTCAAACCAAGGAGAAATGTTGGTCACCACTGCTGGTATACAGAGCACAAAATAATATTCAGCATTCAAAAGAAACATTTGTTGTTGTTTTTTTCCTAAAGCTAATAAGATTCACATGGTTTTTCAAAGAATGGCGCTCTGGGATAAGTACAGTACGAACGGGGAGCCTGTGGCTAATTACGTCTAA